CATGACACACTACAGTTTGGCATGTATCGGCATCCCTGTGGTGGAAACCCTTTCTACTTCATTTTCTTGGACAACCAGAAAAACAGCACATCCTTCAATGACTGAAGCATCTGCCCATGCCCACGATGCAAACATGCCTGGCTGGGCCAATGGAGTTCTGCATCTGCATGTGAAACTGGGAATGCAACCCAGGCCTTGCACATGCTAGGCAAGCACTCACCACTGAGCAACACTCCCAATTCATAGTGAGATTTCACTGAACTTGGAGTTAGGCAGAGCAGCACAGTACCTCACCACAGCATCTCCCCACTCTTACCCACCCCCCAGGTGTAAAAGGGTAAGAGTGAAGCTTGATAAGGTAATTTAGAAGGGCTGGAGAGATGGCTGTTGGTAAAGAGCTCGCTACGCAAACATGAGGACCTGAGTTTGATCCCTAGAACCCATTTAAGAAAAGTCATGTGTGGTGGCATGTGCTTGTGATTCCAGCACTGGGGATGTGAAGACAGGCAGACCCTGAGGCTCCCTGGACAGCTAGACTAGCTATCAGTTCTCTCCTGGTGCGCTCTAAGCCATGAGACCCTGTCTCAAAAAATACAAGGTAAATGGCTCCTGAGGCTGACTTCTAGCTTACATACACACACACACATACACACACACACACACACACACGCACGCACGCACGCACGCACGCACGCACGCGCGCGCACACACAATTACTTTTGTTACTTTTGTTGTCTTTGGTTTGTGTTTGAAATAGGGTCTCACTCACTATGTAGCCCAGCTCAGCCTTGAACTCTGCATCTCCAGCCTCTGTCTCTCAAATGCTGGGATTACAGGCATGTACAGGCATGTACCACCATGCCTGACACACACACACACACACACACACACACACGCACACACACACGCACGCGCGCGCGCGCACACACAATTACTTTTGTTACTTTTGTTGTCTTTGGTTTGGGTTTGAAATAGGGTCTCACTCACTATGTAGCCCAGCTCAGCCTTGAACTCTGCATCTCCTGCCTCTGTCTCTCAAATGCTGGGATTACAGGCATGTACAGGCATGTACCACCATGCCTGGCTTTACTCTTGTTTTTAGAATACGGTCTCATGAAATTCCTGAGTTTAACACCAGCAGCTCGGATCCACTGCAGCTAATACCATGTCTCTGGCACCCAGCCCCTTCATGTGCCAGGCATCTGGGCAGAAGGGCTTCAGAAGCTGGAAAAGTAAGCATCTGTGTCCATGTCCACAGGCCAACCCTGCCAGGCTCCCACAACCCACCTCTCCCCAGAGGCCCGCCTCCTTGCTTTCCATATGATATGACCTTTTTCATTCCACTGCTAATGAGTCCAAGTATTTTAACACCACAGATGGGTGTTTACAGATAAGGAAAACAGTTTGACAGATGACAGGAGAGAGCTGATGGAGGAACAGCCTGCTGCACCTGCCAGGCCCCTGGGCCAGCACTCCGAGCTGGGCTGTGGAGGGAACGGCAGCAGTTTGCAAGGCAACTAGGTGGAGCACTTCTGTCCACAGCAGCACAGGGTATAAGACCCAAGTTGTGTAGTAGCAGGTTTTTTACCTGAACCAGTTTTAATGCTTCAAATCCATGGCTACAGATTTTTGTTGTTATTGCTATTTGCTTTATTGGTTGGTTTTGTTTCAAATAGGATCTCATTGTGAAAGCCAGGCTAGCCTCAAATCCACAGCAATCCTTGTGCCTCGGTTTCTAAAACATGGAGACTGCAGGCATATGCCATCACACTTGGCAAAGGTTCTGTTTGTAAAAGCATCCTGACATTTGTACTGACACTCCAAAGAGCTCCAAAACCCTTCCTTTAGAGCCATAATCTCCAAAGTGGGAAATCCACTGGGGAAACAGGCTCTCTTCTCCCCCATGCCCTGGGGTGGAGTCAGGTCAACTCCAAGGTGTGCTGTGGGAGAGTCTAAGCGGCCAGTCACTCAGGACTGCAGGAGACTTTCCTGGACCCTTCCTCCAGAAAAAAGCATTCACTTTGACCTGAAAGTTCATTTTTCTTTCTGATCACAAATTAAAGCCCTAGGCTTTTTTCTCTGCATGGAGGGTAGTTATGGGATGGCCATGAACGCAACAGAGGTGAAAAGCAAGGTGTGCGGGGCCAGACGTTTTTTTTTTTAGTATTTCAAGGGGCTATCTAAGGTTTGACTGAGATCCAGGAGATCCCTCAGAACGGCAGAGGGAGACTTCCAGCTTCCCCTTGGAACAATGGAGTGCGACCTTATGGAACTGCATGATGACCCTTGCCTGACGTGTAAACCCCACCAAATGTCCCCAGTGCAGGGGCACCTGGTGGATCTGCTTCAAAGAAATGGGCTCAGGCAGAGCTTCCACAACCATGATCCCACCTGGCTCTGGGGACAGCTCCTACTCCAGGGTCTTACTGTCCCCTTTAGCCTCTCGGTACATGGATCATCACATCAACAGAGGAACCACACTGGCTAGCTTCCAAACTAGGGCATTTGAGAAGCAGGGAGGGATGCTAATCATTATGTCACCAGAAAAGGACAAGTGCAACTGGCCTCATCAGATCAGGGCCTTGACCATCCTCCTGAGGGGTGGCAGGCACCCGCTACAGACAGGGAGGGGACACAAGGAACTCAAGGGAAGCAGGCAGCACAACGCATATTAAGTAGGTCACATGCTTCAAAACACTGACTTGGAAACTCAAACCCCATGTTTTATTTGTTGTGATGTTGGGGATGGCAATATTTAAAACGTTTTGCTATGAACAGACTGGGAGACTTACAGTGATGAGCAAGTCAGATGCTGTGAGCAAGCTCACGTTCCAACTGAACCAGATCAAGGGCACGTCTTCCAGAACACACATTTCCACATCCTTCACAAACCTTAATTCTTCTCTGGCCACCAACCCACAACATTCCATGGTATTTGGACTTTAACTTTCTCTTGGGTCTCTTTTTCTTACCAGAAAGGTAAGTTTGCTCAATCATAGATTTGGAACTCAGCTTAAATAAAAACAAGCTCTATAACTTTAAAAGCTCTATAATTTTAAAAGGCAGAGGCAGGCAGATCTCTGTGAGTTAAAAGCCAGCCTGGTCTACATAGTGAATTCCAGGATGGCTGGGGCTACAGGGAGACCCTGCTTCAAAAAGACAAAAACAAATAAATAAACAAATAGTAATTCCTCTCCAGGCCCCTTACGTCAATACACATGACTAGACAAGGGACTCAGCTGGGGCTTTCTTTCTGCCTGGTGTAGAGCTTGTATTGGCTTTAGTAACCAAAACCCCTTCTGGAAAACCACTAAACCTCCTGGGAGCCAGATGCAGCAGGCAGCTCACTGCAGGCACTTGATAACAAAGATGCTGTCCCCTCCTACTCAAGCCACTTGTGTTCCTGTGGTCTATCACACATGCTTCTCTACATCAGACTTTGTGGAGCCCAGGGAGGCTGCAGTACCTCTGGGGTGTCCTAAACAAACCAATACACGCTCTCCATGTCCAGGTGTGGACAGAAGTTCTCTGAGAGGGGGGCTGGCTACAGTTTAATTTCCTCCTCAGAGCTGACACATGGACCTGGGCATGTGACTTTGTTGGCACGAGGCCCATTATGCAGCAGATTTTTGTGGGTGCTCAGGAGGCTAGGGATCTGGAGGCTGTTGCTGCTGGCCCGGGAAGGCCCCGGCCATCTTGCCTCATTCCTGTGTCACTTCACTGTGCCTATCAACAAACAGAAGGCAAACTTGGTCAGTTGAGGGTGGTTTAGAAAAGCAAGTCAGCATCACCCTGGGACATCTGTCAACAAAACCTGCCCTGCATTCCAGTCACAAAGGAGGAAGGTACCACTAACTAGATTCCCACTCCACCCCACACCTACCCTGCGCTAGAGCCGGGAAGGAGGAGGGCCCCTTCTGCTTCACAGGTTTTACTGGCTATTCTTTTCCGGAAAGTTGATCATGGGAGAAAAAACTAATGTCAAAGCTCAAAGTCTGAATGTTAGTCCTGAACTACTTTTTGAATATCTGTGTGTATGTGTTTCGGTATGGCCATGTATCTGAGTGCAGGTGCACAAATGCAATGGTACGTGTGGAGGCCAGAGGACAACCATGGGTCTCTGTCCTCACCGTCTACCTTGTCTGAGAGGGGGTCTCTTAATTGGCGCTACCTGCAGCAGGGCGAGCCCTTCCAGGACTTCTCCTGTCTCCATCCCCGACTCGCCTCAGGAGTGCGGGAGTCCAGACACCAGCTACCAATTCAGCCTCTGGTGAGGGTTCTGGGGATTCCCACTCAGGCACTTCATCTGAGCTCAGATTAGCCAGATCAGTATGTAAATCCGAACTCCTCAAGTGTGGCTCCAGCATGCCTCAAGACAAAACCAAAGCAGTGGAAATGCCTGAGTTCCTTTTCTTTTTGGTCTTTTTGGGACAGGGTCTCCCTGTAGCCCCAGCTGTCCTGAAACTCACTATGTAGATCAGGCTAGCCTCGAACTCACAGAGTCCGCCTGCCTCTGCCTCCCGAGTGCTGAGATCAAAGGCATGTGTCACCACACCTGGCTAAGAATCCCATTTCTATTTTTCTCAAAATATTAAATAAGATTAGGGTTTAAACTGTGTGTCATCAGATAAAGTAACATGCCAGGTGTGGTGGTGCACACCTTTAATTGCAGTACTTGGGAGGCAGAGGCAGGCAGATCTCGGTGAGATTGAGGTCAGCCTGGTCTACATAGCAAGTTCCAGGCCAGCTGGGGCTACAGGGAGACCCTGACTCAAACAAACAAAGATACAGTAATAATCACACACAGAGGTCTTCAAAAACTTCCTAAATAACCTTAAGCTTTGTGTGGATGAGGAGCACTGTGAAGCTTCAGGGACTCAGGAACAAGGACGCACCAGGGGATAAGAGTCTCCTTTGCACAGACTGAAAATTAAAAGTCCAAATTCTCACTTTTCCCCCCATATCAACTAAATTTCACAATCCATACACTTATAGGAAAAATAAGTAATTTTAATGATTTATGTAAAAAAGAAAAATAAACTTTATGATACAATTTGATAGACTACATCATATAAAATTTTACTAACATACAATGTATATAATTTCTGCAACATAAAAATTCTATTCATATATACAAATTCATAAAAGATAAGATAGATATCTTATCTTAAAGCAAACCAGGGTTCACTGAGGGCTATGGCTAAGTTATTCAATTCAGTAGAAAAGAGATCATGAAATTTGAAGGACTAGAGCTAACAACCCTGCCCTCCCCAGACTGGTTTAGCATAATCAAATCAACAGAGCTAGAGGCCCCCTCCTCAGAGCTGGAGGGTGCCCCCCCACCGCCCCTGCCCCCCACAGGCAGGCAGCAGGGTCAGCACTCTCCTGACCTTCCTCGGTTGAGAGCACAACACGCCACTACCTTACCCTTGAAATGTACTAAGCAAAGCCACTGTGCTAACCTTAGGAAACAACATTCTCAGGCGGTCTTCACATGGTCATGGCTCTCCTCAGTTTACATAATAAATACAATACCAAGAATTGCAAGGACAGGATGAGGACCCAGACCTTCACCCAGGAAGAGCGTCTCCCAACTCAGTGAGATCCTTTATACAATAATTTAAAACCTTAGTATTTACAGTAGCATATGTAAGTGAAAAACTAAATAAAAACCATTCTTTAAAAAAATTATGCTTCAAAACATGATTTTTTAAAAATTAAAAACATTTAAAAAATGTTTTTAACCTAACTCCCCATCTTGCCCATCCCCACACAGAGGAAAAGGAGTCATGCCCCTCACACAAGGCCTTCTTAAGGAGGTTAAGGGCTAGCAGGTAGAGGCTCTGGGGGTGCTGCACCCATTGGAGTAACCTGGAGGCAAAATGCTGAGCAAAGTGAGGAGGCAGCCATGACAGCTTCACCTCAGACATGCCCACAAGGCTGGACTGAGTTCTCCTTTGTCAGTCTATGGACTTCAAGGGCTAGAAATGCAGGTGAATGCAGGTCGGTAAGATCACCGCAGAAAGAAGTTTATGTATGCGGTTAAAGGCAGGGTGACCCAACAGGTGACACGCACCTGACAAGGACACAGGTAACATTAACACCTTTCAAGTGGAAATTCAAAACATAACTCAATCATCTCAGGTCAGGCCTCACTGTACTTGCATAAAGTACGCAGTCATCCTTTGGTCAGTGCTGGTATGAAGTCCTCTCAACAGACTCAGAACCAGAAATAGAGGGCTGCCACTTCCCTGGTGGGCTGGCACCACTTACCTGGTAGAAAACTCTGGATGGGGCTAAACAGGTTGCAGCAGAGAACAGGTTATGAATGAATAAACCCTCCCACAAAGGCGTTCCGGAGAGCAAGGTGTAACTATCAAGCAGAGCGGGAAAGGTAAAGAAACATGGCCTTTTAATATACACAGGGCCAAACTCCAGCCCTGGCACCGCTGGGCTATGAGGTCAACAGTCCATTTTTATCGCAGACTGGAGCTGAAGAGTGCCTATTTCCTGTCTTCCTCCTGACATCCTGGAGGGGCATTCACCTTCGAGATGTCAAGGTGATGCTATGCACCATTTTCTGAATCTTTTCCTCGTTCTTCAGGATGTTGGCCTTCACCGCACAGATCTTATCCTGCTGCTCTCTGATCTGCTGCTCCAGCTCAGCCAGCTCAGCCTTCAGGGGCTCCACTGCACAGTCTGTGATGCTGGTGGGAAACAAGAAGGGGCTCATGAGCCGACTGTGGCTTCTGTCTGTATCTCACTCAAACCCCAAAGCTAGTCAAACAACAGACTGGCTTCATCCCAAGTCCCAGGGGAAACTGCCAGGCTCCTGCAGGCACGACATCATGGCACCGCTCACACCTGGCACAGCTGAGCATGAGGTCAGGCCTGAGAGCTGGTTTACATCTGCATTCACTCCTGCAGACCTGGGGGTTGGACCTGGGGCTTTACAAGGTTGAGCAGCACTCTTATCACTGAGCTACATCCCCAACCCCAAGATATCCATTTTAGAAAAACCAATGAGGGGGTGGGGATGTAGCTCAGTGGTAGAGCGCTCACCTAGCAAGCGCAAGGCCCTGGGTTCGGTCCTCAGCTCTGAAAAAAAAAAAAGGAAAAGAAAAAGAAAAACCAATGAAAAGGAGGCTGATATTTCTTTGGTTACTGGCTTGAGGTCCTTCATTATGTATGCAACAGAGAGCCCCAGGGGCAGCGAGAAGTAGGCTACAGTGTCCTGGTGGACATGGAGGGCAGGTGAGCCTTACTTGCTAGATGCTAGAGGACACCTCTCCCCAGGACAAGGCTCCCTGGCCTTGAAGGGTCTCCCTACTGCTCAGGTGCCTGGCTCCTATGTTCAGCAGCAACAGGCAACCTTTTATGGTTGGGCTGAACACGGGACATGTGCAGAATCCACATAGGAGCTCTGGTCAACACTGACCTTTCCCTCTGGGATTTCAGAGCCTACAAATGCAAAGTCCTTGCCACACAAAGAACAAGTCTGTAGCCTTTGATGTAACTGCAGAATCAGGTTTTATAAGGCAGAGACGTCTGGGACAGTACTCTCCAGTGCTGAAAATCAAAATTTACGTGCTAGCCAGTCACCGTGCCAGAGTGGGCACCCGGCGTTCCTGGTGATTTTCTGGCTTCCTTCATGCTGCATGTTTAAAATCTAAGGGGCTTTTGAAGAATAAAAAGACTAGTCCCGGCACTCGGGAGGCAGAGGCAGGTGGATGTCTGTGAGTTCAAGGCCATTCTGGTCTATATAGTGAGTTCCAGGTCAGCTGGGGCTACAGAGAAACCTTGTCTCAAAAAGATGAAAAAGAAAAAAAGAAAAAAAAAAAAAAAAAAAAAAAAAAAAAGACTAATCGGAAAGAGCAGACTGTTAAAGCCCAGCTTCTCTACAACACGGGCGTCCCGCTGTGTCACTGTGCAAAGCCACATTCTCTGAAGAAGGAAATCCCACAAGTCAGTACAGTTCAAACACCTCTCCAAATAAATCTCACTTGCCTAGCATGAGCAAGGCCCTAGGTTCAATCTTGAGAACCACAAAACAACCCCCTCAACTCTACCAACTATGATAAGACACAGGGAAAAGCAGCGCCCAAACTGCAAAGTTCTTCATATTTTTTAATGTCAAGTCTGTTTGTCTATGAACATAAACGCCCCAGCTTGTCTAATCACTACAAAAGAAGGTTGTTATGACGGTAAGTGGAGAAATACAGTCCCCGTTGCCCCGACCCTGCTTCTTCTGCAGCCCCCACCTCTGCTCCTTGCTCAGGGTCTCAGCGTGCTGCTTGTTCTCGCTGTGCCACAGCTGCAGCTCATTCTGCATGGCGTCCACGTCCTCCTGGATGTAGTCCATGATCTTCCCCAGGGGAAGCGCGCTCTTACAAAACGTCTGGATGGACACTCGCAGCTTCTCTATCTCCTTAGAAACGATGTCCTTCTCCTTCTTCCACGCTGACTCAGAGACAAGCGATCTCTCCTTCAGCCATGGAAAGCAGCAAGAGAAAGCTGTTAGGAGCTCCTGAGGGCAGGCAGAGCTGGACTTGCACCCTAAGCATAACTCACAAAAGGAAAAGAAAAGCTGGTGAGCTGTAGTTATCAACATGAAGGTGGACGCTCCAGAAAAGTCCTGAAGCTGAGAAAACAAGTTAGTGAGGAGAACATCTGCAAATCACACATCTATGGTGGGAGTGATAGTAGGAAATACACAGGGAACATAAAACTCAGAAAAAAAAGAAAAAGAAAAAGCACCGGCCGCCGCAAAGCACAGGGAACTGAGGCGCTGCAACATCTACAGACCTGTCACACCTGAGATGAGCAAGAGCAACATGGCCCCGGGCAGGAGAACCAGGGTCTCCTCAGTGCCGCTGGGAACATGAATGATGCAATCACTTCAGAAACCAGCTTGGGAGTTTTCTTCAAAACTATCAGTGTCATGGTTTGAATCTGAAAATGCACCCCCGAATGCAGGCTTTGCAAACTTGGTCCCCAGAGGATGGACTTTTGAGAAGTGACGGGGTAACCAAGGTTCTCACTTCATGGACAATGAAATCACAGCTAGCTGGGGCCTGGCTGGGAGCTGCTGTGAAGGGAGCATCTTCTCCTGCCTGTTCCTCTGTGCTGCCGCTTCTCAGCGACATGAAGTGAGCGCCCCACTCAGCTCCACCCTCAACCGTGGCCTTTCCAGCACAATGCTCTGCCTCACGCAGGCCCAGGACAATGGAGCTCACCAGCCATGGGTAGAAACGCTGAGCCGGTGAGCCACGGTCCCTCTTTCTCCCTTTATGCTGTCTTCCTCAGGTTGTAACCACAGTACACAACTGAAGTACAATCCAGCAGTTATACTCCCAGGCAGAGAAAAGTCATACTCACAACCACAGAAAGATCTGTGAAGACGTGGGGACAAAAACTGCCACCTATTTCCAAACCAAGCCTTTAGGAGGTACGGCCTGGCTGGAGGAAGCACGTCACTGGGGCTTTGAAGATCACAGCCACGCCCACTTCCAGACTAGCTTTCTCTGCTTCCTGTGCCTGCTTGAAGATGTGAGCGCACGCCTCCCACCATGTTGGACTCTCACCCCCCTGGAACCATAAGCCAAGTAAACCCTTCCTCCTATAAGCTACCTTGGCCATGGTGTTTTATCACAGCAATAGAAAAAGTAATAATACAGAGGATCTTGTGGTGAGAACATGCTGGACTGGACTGGTGTCAGCATCCTGGGAGTGATGGTGACCCTCGCTCTGCAAGGTGACTTGCCAGGAACACCAGGAAGGCCATGCAGCACACCTCCAGTGCTTCTTCCAAATGCAGAGAAATCTAGTCACCTCAAAACGAAACACGCGTGTTAAGAGAGAACAGGAAAACTGGCATGGCAGTGCACAAACTAACTTAAATCAGAAGGGGTGGGGGTGTCTGCCACTGCTGCCCACTAGCTGCTGTACTGCTCAGGTCAACGCTCCTGAGCAGAGCTCCACCCTCCATTAACTAAACCCCCAAAGCAAAGGTGGTTGAGAACTGATTAAAATCATACTGGGGGAAGGAAGAAACAGGAGGTGACAGATCTCAGTCTTTGAACAACAGACTCTTTCACAACCTGATCCACACACAACCTGTGAAATGCTCGTTCTTCATAAGCAAAAGGAAACTACATTCAAGAACAAAAGTAAAGCCCAGGGGCTGCACAGATGGCTCAGTGGTTAAGAGCACTGGCTGCTCTTGCAGAGGACCTGGGTTCGATTCCACACATCTCAGCTAACAACCATCTGTAACTCCAGTTCTAGGGGATCCGACACCCTCTTCTGTCCTCCACAGGCATTGCAGGACATGGGTGCACTTACATACACACAGGCAATACACTCACACATGAATTTAAAAATATTTTTAAAGTTGCCTTTAAATTGTTAAAATGTATTTACTCGGCAGTAAATGAACTCTATTTGTATAGTAAAAGCTTTATTAAGCTATCTGGAAACATAATTAGTACCAAAAAATAAGTGTACAACTGATTACTACTGGGTGAGGGAGAGTAGGCCATACCAACGATCTCTATAGATAGGGTGAATTTGCACTGAAGGACACCTGGGTACAAATGCTTGACTGGATAGGACTTAACATGTACAGTGGAATACATGAGGTCTGGTGGGGGGTGGGGTGGGGGACATGGGTGGGGAAGGGGGTCTAAATTTGATTAAGAACTGCTGTATGAAATATACAACAGCTCAATTAAAAAATATATATATATTTGCATGTACCACTAAACCTGGCTTATCGCATGTGTATTCCGGCAGTTTTCTACTGTGTCATATAAAATATAAATGTATGTGGGTACAAAAAAGTTGCTCCCAAGTTTTAAAAGCTGACAAAATGCGGAGCATCACGGGAGAATATTAAGATGCAGAGTTCCTGGGGCTGGAGAGATGGCTCAGCAGTTAAGAGCACTGACTGCGCTGGCAGAGGACCTGGGTTCGATTCCCAGCACCCAGGGGACTCTGAAGCCCTCTTCTGACCTGCGCGGCACTGCAGGTCCCGGTGCACTCACGTACATGCAAGCAATACACTCATGCACATAAAATAAAAATAATAAAATATTGAAAAAAAAAAGATGCAGAGTTCTGTTTGGTTGGTTGTTTGGTGTTTTGTGTTCTCTTGTTTTGAGACAGTCTCATGTAGCCCAGGCTGGCCTCGAACCTATCATATCACATAGGCAAAGATGACCTTGAACCCGATTGTCTTGCCTCTCCCTCTAGAGCGCTGAGCTGGCAGGTGTGCACCACCACCCCGGCTTGGGGCATGTGTGTTCCGACCATTATCTTTAAGAGCGTCTTCCACTGCGCCATCAGTCATCTCAGGCTGGTCCTGTGCTCTGAACCTGGCTGCTGGCACACAGGTGACCTCACTGCTGGTCGCTGCACTGGTCCCTGTCAGAAGCAGGTGTCACCCAAGCTTGCCCCATACCCGTGCTTCTAACTGCTGTGATTTGCTAATGGAACAGCTGAAGCTGAAACGGCTCCGTCTCATTCCCTTCAAGGATGAACTCGTCTCTTTAGGCCTGAGACACTGACGGGCAACAGCTGTCCTCAGATGAACCCAGGGACGTGCTTCTGAGGCCCCTTCTGGGGTGACGAAGCTGAGAAGAGGAGGTGCAGTCCTCATCTTGTGTCACAGTCATGTACCGCCATGTCATGTTCTGCATGTGACCACAGACATGGGGACAAAAACTGTCACCTATTTCCTTAAAAACAAGCCCAAATGCCCCAACCACAAGAAGCCTCTTCATCAATCAGTTCCAACAATTCCCAGTTTAACCATTCAAGTAAGGGAAGAAACAGCACAGCACACACCCCCTTTGATCATTCTTACAGAAATTTCAATGGTGACAATATCCCAATAAAAGTCAACCCAATACTAGAACCACAAATAAACTGAACCAAAATAAAAACACGTTCGTCTGGTACAGGGTGGCCATAAAGGGAAAGTTTTTTCCTACGAGGGTTAAAGCATTTGTGATGAAATTGCACCACCTAGCTACCAAGTAAGAACGCTAAGAGCACTCTAAATCACCAAAGTAAAATAGAGACTGAAGTCCCTCAGCCAAGGACTGAGTCAACAGCACTCACTGTCGACTATTTACCTTAAATAAAAGTCATGATTCAGTTACCAGTTCACTGAGACACTGCGAAACACAACAGGCTCTTATATTTCCAAAGAAATGTGTCCCTCCCCTCTCCCCCACAGTTTTTTGAGAGAGCATCTCACATAGCCCAGGCTGGCCTCAAACTTCTGGATTTCAGAAGCGTATCACCATGCCGGGCTGTAAATGACAGCCATCCATAATTTCTTGTCATTTGCTACACTGTGCCCTTAATTAAACCTTTCTTTCAGAAGGGCAATAAATACATAGGAGCTGCCCTGCATGGTAGCACACACCGAATCCTGGTTCACCCAACGAAGAGGCAAGAACACGAACTCACAGAAACCTTACACCAACTAAGAGAAAAGAGAACCTACAGAAAGAATGACTCCCAACAGTCCACTTCCAAGTAAAGAACCGAATTGCAACAAGGCCTGACATTTACATTCAGTTGGAGCAACTGAGGCAGCAAGATAAAAGGGAGACTAAGCACTGGGTGAGGGTGTTTAAACAATGCTTTAGAAGTGCCAGACGACCTCTGCAGCTGCACAAGCTTTGGAGAGCAAGAATTTCCACAGCAGTTGAGCACTAGAAAACTGCATTCTGGTTATTTTTCAAAACTTCTCCATGAACTTGAATTAAGGGAAAAAATGCTGGCAGGGGCTAACATCTTACTATTAACAAAGGTTTTATTTCCTCTCGAAAAGCAAACGTGAAGACAGGATCATGGGAAAATGCTTAAAGCAGCCGATGTACAAATTTATTCTACAACATGTTGTTTGAGTCCACTATCACAGTAAGAAGTAGCCTTTCTTCCCATGGAACTTCAAAGAGAGCCTGGAGGGATGCCCAGATTAGAAATATGTACTTCCTTAACACTGAAAAACATTCCCTCCAAAAAATGCAAAGTGCCACCAGGACAGGAGGCACGTACAGTGCATGCATCCCGCAGAGCCACCTATTTGAATGCTCGGATGAGGGGGAGGGAGGAGGAAGATGATGCTTAACCTGCGTCCCACAGGGGCACACAGCACGTTCACCTTCAAAACCACAAGGAAGGGTGCAGGATTCCTGTGATTTCTGACACAGGTTAGAAAGCAGATACGCCTTTGTGTAGACTTGGGAAATGTTGATAAAAACCAATCACAAACTAAGCCACCAAGAAAGATTTACAAGTCCCAACAATTAATCATTGTTACATTAGAAATTGTTGATAAAGACTAAAAAAAAACCTTTCCTTGAAAGTAAATCAGCCCTCTGGTAACCCATACATCAGGGAAGAAATCATTCTGACTTACCTGGATACTAAAATTAAAAAGGGTTTTAATATTCAACATCAATTTAGTAT